ATCTATCTATCTATCTATCTATCTATCTATCTATCTATCTATCTATCTATCTATTTAATTTGTATACCTGCCGATCTCACGTAGTGACTCTGGGCAGCGTACATAATAAAACAGTTGAAATACATGAAAACCATTAAGAACAACCAATTTAAATTAAAAAGTTAAAAACAAGATTAAAAACAGTGCTAATATGATGATCTTCTGGGCATTTTTTTTTCCTTTCGGTAAGGTTAAAAAGTACAATTCAGTTACAACTTTGGAAAGCTTCTGAGGAAAGTTACTGGGTTTGGAAAAGCACCAGTGCTGTGACTTCGGTAGTCCAGGCGTGGGCATCAGCAGGTGGCATCAGGGCTTCGTAGGGCTTTACCTGGCACACTGAGAGCCACACTCCATAAGTGGGTGGTCCCAGGGGCCATTCCGGGATGAGGGGTGTTCCGCCGTTTTAAGGGATGAAATGAATTCCCAAAGCAGCATCAGGATCCGTTAAAGCACCCGTTGTGCCCCTTAAAACACCCCACCCTGAAGAATACAAAAAGAGTCCCAAATTTTATGTTCCGCCCACTTGGGAGAGCGTCTGGGATGTGGGGCTACTTTTTGGCAACTTCCTCTGTTTCCATTAACAGCCTGAAGTCAGGCAGGTAAAGATTTATTGACCTCAGTGAGCTTGTTCATTTGGTAGTTTACCCTCTTGTGGAAACCCAGCCTATGGATTAGTTTATGGGTTAATTCAGAAACCAGGCCCAAGCATGTTTTCTGAACATACCCATGCAACACTTCAGACCTGGAATTAGCGGACCAGGATGGGTCTGCTCAGTTTCTGGTCCAATTTTTAAAGATTAAACTGGAAATAATGAATTTAATTTAATTGATTTAGACCCTACTGATTCCAACCAATATACCGGATTAGAACCAAGGAGAGACAGGGCTGTGCTTCTTTTAGAAGCCTTACAAAGTGGATGAGAGAGGGCTTCTTTTTAAAATATTTTAAAGTATGTACTTTTTTTAAGGCTGGCTTGCTTAAAGCAGCACCAAGCTCCCTAAGGATACAGCCTTCTTTTCCATGTACTGTCAGCCCTGTGTCCACACACCTCTGTTTATCCCACCACTCTATTTTTTTCCCCCTTTGGGGAAGGACAGTCACCAGTGAACATTTATCTAATCCTGAATCCGCCAGAAGTGAAATACCCAAATGCACTTCCACCAAGATTCTGGACAGATTCTGTTTTGATCGTACTTCAGACAAAAGATTTTGCTTTATTGGGAATTGCAGACTTGGGTGGCTGGTGACGTAAGATTTCCAAATCTTTGTTTCCTGGCCGACCTGGCTGCAGAAAAGCTCCATTTGCATTATAGCCGGGTAAAAACACAGTTCTTTACTCCGTGCGCTGCAGCCCATTTCGCCTGTCACACCCTCCTACCCTGCCTATCTGCCGAAGGCTAAAGGTTGCCAATGGCCAACTTTCATCGTGGTGAAGAGGTGGCATTAAACTAATGCATTGCCTGAACACTAGAGAAAGCCAGGGCATGAATAATTGATTCTGCTCTCCTATAGCACAATGAAGTCCCATTTGCTCAGCCTTATTAAAAGAGCGAGCGAGGGGGTGAGACAGTAAAGGTCGTTAAGGGATTTGTAACATGGGAAGAATCGCCCATGAAATGGATGCTCTGTGTGTGTGTGTGTGCGTGTGTTTGCGTGTTTTCCCCCTTATCTCCGAGGTCTTTAACTCAACGTCACGGTGAAGGCCGTCTTAAGGCGTTTGAGGGTATGTTGAATTATTCAGTGTAAAGAAGAATGGTACTCTGCTTGGGTCCAGAAATTTTGATTTTGAGAGTTTGAAAATTGTTGGAGTTAGGAAGGTTGGCTTTATTGGGCATATCTGTTTGGTAGAGATTAGCAAAAGTCCACAGTCTGGAACACCAGAGCTCCTTCCAAATTGCCCACGAGTTACAGCAGTTTCCATCTTTGAATGCTAGGGATATGCCTCGTAGAAAGACACCTTGAAAGATATAGCTGATCACATTTGCTAAGCTCAGGGTCCCCAAAGGAAGGAAAGTCTAGAAACTTTCTGAAAAAATTGGCCATATTGCTTAGCCCAAGCCCAGTGAGCCTCATCTGTAAACAGGAATGATGGCAGCTTGCTCCAGGGACATTAGAGTGGTGTTTCTCAGCCTTGACAACTTTAAGACATGTGGACCAACTCCCAGAATTCCCCAGCTGGCCATGCTGGCTGGGGGAGTCTGGGAGTTGAAGTCCACATGTCTTAAAGTTGCCAAGGTTGAGAAACACTGTGTTAGAGGGTCAGTGCTTTTCCCAACTTGTCATGCTCCAGGTGTCTTGGTGCTACAGTCCCCAGAGTTTCCAACTAGTATGGCCATGCTCATCAGGAATCCTGACCCAACCCAGCTGGAGAAGCCATCTTAACAAAAAAATGATAAGAGTTGCAGATATATATCCCTAGCCAAGCTTTGTTGTCTGTGATTAAAGCTGTGTGTTTGACCACTTCTGCTACTTCCTCCTCTTCTCCTTCTCCTTCTCTTTTGTCTCTCTTTATGATTCACTCTTCCACGTTTTGTTTTGTTTTTAATCGGATGAGTTTTCTGCCCAGTTCCAGCTCCTGTGAAGAAAAGATGCATTGCAGAAACTCAAGGCCGACCCCAAGAAGTGATATATGAAATCCAGGCAGCAGATGATCCCAACGCTGGATGTTTACCCCAACCTTTGCCCTCACTTGACCCCTATGTGTTTCTGTGGCATTTCTTTCAGATCCTTCTCTACAACGTGGAAACGGGGCAGTGCATAATGCAACTCGGCAGCCCTTCGGGTGACTTCACATGCCTCAACCTCCAGGACAGTCCTCCCCACATGCTGGTGGCTGGAAATAAAGTTAGGAGGTAAATCTAAGCCAGGGTGGGTTGCCTTTTGAGGAGTAACATTTGGATGGGGCATATTTAAGTTTTTTGGGGGGTGTCCCAAGGCCAAAGGCAGGGTGATGATGTAGCGTCAATGAGTCTGGCATTTGCTTCCTGGGTTGAAAGATAACACATCCGTTTCTGAGTGTTTTCCATCTCCAAATGGTGGGAAATCACTCTGATTTTCAGCCACCATACTCTAAAGTGGCTCTGAGAGCAGCCGGAAGGGGCTTTGGCCTTCCGTGGTTCTAGGCCTCAGAAATTCCACCTCAAGAAAGTTTCAGTATGCCACCCCTGCAGCTCCCGCACAAACTT